ATTTAGGAAGTCACAGGTGTTTTCAGGGTGACCTTAGTTTTAGCTTCAACTGGTTGTTCAGGGGGTTGCTGGAATTGGAAGGTGAGCTGATTTTTAAGTGTATTTTGTGCAGCAGGTGTGTCTGTGTATGCTGCTGCTTCATCTTTCCCCGATAAACTGCCAGCACCTTATGTATTGCATGGTGACTATGTAGCAGAAAGTAGATTCTTGATGGAGTATACTTCATAAAAATAAACTGGCTACGTTACATAAAAAGTCATGTTAGTGCAACCGTAGCCTTGCTTTTGGGAAGGTAATTTCTGGAGCCATGAAAGATAGAGAAGAATCTTAGAGGGAGGAGAACTAGAAACTTTTCATTTTGGAATGGTAAGTGACAAGGCCTTCCACCGGATCTGTTTCTTTGTTTTAGTATTTGCATCTAAACCCAGGAATGGTTTCTGCTTTTTAGCTACTGGCGTTTGAACAAGTTGCTTTCAGTAACTTGGTAGGTGGTAGAGAGAAGGCTCTGTTGTCGGTTTAGGTGCGGTCAAAATGCGTAGACAGCTGGGTATTTTCCATAAGTGCTGACAGCAGCTGTCAGATGTTTCCAAATATGATCCTTTATTTAAGAGTTCTTTTCAAGATACGGATGAACTATGTTATGGGTGAGATGATGCTTCTGGCAGTTAGTTTGTGTTTCTAGGACTTTTTTTTTCCCCCCCCATCTTAAAGACTAGCAGAGGAAATAAGTTGTTTGAGAACTCACCACTGTGCATTTCTTCCATGGGATGTTTGGGTAATACTTTAAAATCCTTAATGTTCTACCATCCATGTGTCTATAAAGGTTAAACAAGTGTCTCCAAATAAATGTCGTGTCTGCTGGCTTTTATACATTTTCCCCATGTGTTGAATTGTTAAATATTTCTTATATTTGAGTATGCTGATAAAAAGACACATATGCATCTTATTAATACAGGACAACATTAATCAGACGTTATTTTACTGCAGTTGTGTAGTTTCTTAGAGTAGAGATAGAGTGCAAAACTGGTTTTAGATCATCTCAGAAAGTATCGTGGTTTTCTTTTTTTTTTTTTTTTTTTTTTTTTCCCTGAAAGTTGTTCTAGGTGCGGAGTTGTTCCTCCCCCAGAGTATGGTACAGAAAAAACCCCCACTGATCAGACTTGCAGCACTTTGAAGACCAGTCCAATTTAACATAAAACCAGAATGCTTTCTTGGTTTTGCAAATGCCTTGCAGCTACTTTCATCATGGCAAACTAAGTCAACATGTATTAAACATCAGTGTTAAACGCGTTTGTGTACAGACGTGCATTAAAGCTTGAAGCATATGTATTTGCAGAGTGTTGAAATGTTTTAGTTCTGGATGTTTAGAGTAGTTGGACAAAGAAAAAAAAAAGACTGCTGAAGGATGTAAAGCTTTTATTTTCTTAATACCCAATCAAACATTTTTAATCTACTAGGGCTTTTTTTTTTTCCCCCAGGAAGGTTTTTCTTTGGAACTAAAACCACCTTTCTGTTATACAATAGGTAATGCGTGTTTCCATCATGTATCAAATCTCTTTGAATAGAACTACTCTTTGCATTGATACCTTTCCTAACTTCCTTAAAATATCCATGTAGCTGTTGGAATGCTAGAAGAGGGTAGCTTTTCTCAAGTAGCGCCATCCCATACCTTCTTGCTAAGGTACGGTTGTACTTGTTTTCTTCTGCATATGTGAACTAACCTGGAATATTTTGATCTTTTATGCCTGGGCCACCCCAGAGAATTAATTTTTCAGAGTAGTCTTAACTTGAAACATTTCTGTTTTCAGGCATGTTTTTGTCTTTCACAATTGTCTTCCACCGAGGCTTGTAGAGCCTGCTGTTTGTTGTCGGCAGAAAGATCCAGGTGTTGAAGAGCCTTATCGCAGGCCTCCTGGCTGGGATAGATGACATGTGTTTTGTCCTACCTTGTAACGTGTGTGTTTGTGAGGGGTTTTTTTCTTCTGTACTTTTGTATGTGTGTATGGTTTTGTGTTTTTAACACTTTTTCTGTTCACTTGCTGTGGTTCTGATCCTTGGATGACTGAGAAGATTGAGCGTGACAGGGTGAGAATGCTCAGATGTAAGCGAGGACAGGTCTTGAAAACGTAATTAGTCTGCGGCTAGATTTTAAGGAATAAGCATGCACTTAAAATTCTTTGCTTAAAGAATAGGAAAACATCCTTTGGCAACGCGTTTAGAGTAAAAATAGCATGGAAATGCAATACACATTCATATGGATTGAAAATATTTTTTATATTATTTCTAATCCACACAGGTGAGCATTAATCATTTATTTGGCGTAATGAGTACATGGAAAGAATTGTCTTGTGCCAAAGGCTTGTATAGCTAAAACATAAATAGTGAAGATGAGAGACAGACATATATGAAAACGAGCACATACAGAGCAGGCCATACAGGAAAAGAATAAAACCACATCTGTAGGCTTAATTATTTTTCTTCATATGTATATATACAAGTTAAACAGTACAGGAACTTGTGTTTGGGAGGTAGCTGAGGCTGATGTAAGATTGAAGGAAAGAAGGTGTTCATGGTTTTTGTGTGGTAAGTATGTTTCTAATACTTTGCTTTCCTGACAAACGGTTGGATAAATTGTTCTCAGCAGAGTGTGTTTCATTTGTGGATTTTTTTTTTATTAATACTAGGCACTGTGATTTTTTTCTTTCTTTTTTTTTTTTTTAAAGTTATGATGACACCTTGTTGGTGTCATTATAACTCATCTGGAGTCCTTGCTAAACTACGTCATTCACAAATGATAGTCATGTTGAATTAATTTATTCAATTCAAAGCAGGGGTTGCCATCTGTGTGTGTATACATGTAAAGCTCTTGATCTAAAAGAAGGAAGCGAAGGATGTTTGCAGAGGGGAAACCCTCTCCTGCTCAGGCTTACTTTCTAGTAAGTGAGATCAAGTAATCGGTCGACAGCCTTTGGTTAGGAGCTGATGAACCAGGAGGGTGTTTTTTACTTACAGTGCTGCACCGCTGTGCTCGTTAGGAGAGGAGGGAACTTGTCCGCTAGTAACTTGAGCTTTGTGTCTGTCTTGGCAGTTCTGCGTCTGGGGGGTTGGTGTTATTTTACCGCATTTTTACAGATAGAATAGTATTTACTTTATTAAAATATCAACGGTTGTGCCAAGAAACACTGTTAACTATATTTATGTATCACGTTAGGATTCTTAAAGTTTCTTTGAGAATATGAGAGGTTCAATTAGCGAAGGAGGTAGTATAGATAAAAGCTTGAACTGTGGTGGAATGCATCCCATGGATGTGTACAAGGTGAGGAGCACCTATGCTTGCTCGCAGTGAGCAGGCAGGCAGGAAGATGGAGAGGACACCAGAGACCAGGAGAACAACCAAGGTGAGAAAAAGCTGACCCTTTGAAGACCTGAATGAAATAGTACTTAGGGAAGTGCCGTTCAGTTGAGATGCACCTGTGAGAATTTAGCTGGTGAGGTGAGCATGGGAAGTTGACAAAAGACATCAAGAGCTTTACCAGAGGGGAAGTCTTTAATATTAGTCACCTAAGTGTCATTCAGGGGTGAGGGTAGGACTTGTAAGATTAAATAAGGAATTTGACTTCCATTCCATTCTGCGGTGCCTCTGTATGCCTTTTGTATGCCATTTGAAATGAACTTTATTTTAAAATACATTTTGGGGGTTGTCATGTTCCTGCTTACAAGCTGTTCACTTACTTGAAGGGGTTGAGCAATAGCAGAATTTAGAGAGTTGGATACTGTTTATTGCCAATCCAGAAAAATGTATTTTTGGCTATCTTGCTCTTTCCTATGTAGCAGAGTCCTCACAGAACTGTTCTTCAGTAACCTAAAATGTAGGCTGGATTTTTTCATCTATCAGTCAGATATAGAGGTTAAGGTCTGGATGTTTTGGTTTGGTTTTTTTTTATGTAAGACCATAGATAGCCTGTGGTTTTGGGTGGTCTTGTCCTTGTCCCGACCTGTGTGGTGTTGTTGCAGCCGCTGTTCCCTCTCACCTTCCTTATTCCACACCCTGGTGCGTTTGGCTTTTTTGGTCATGAAGATTTACTCTGAACTGCACAAATTTCTGAAATAAGTAAAATGCAACTTATTCTTTTTGGTTGCTTCAAGTTAGCTTTCGAATATTCTAGAATACCGTATTTTAAACCGCATCAGTGGTACAGTTTCTTGCTCAATAGCTTTCTGTCTCTTCCTTGCTTTCTCCCCTCTGAGCACCACCACTAGCAAGCAATAAAGTTAGTATTTCAAGGCTGCTTATCTGATGCAAAAGGAATTAATGTCTTAGCATCTGCAAGTTACACATGCTGGAGGTTTCTTGTTTGTTGCGGGTTGGTGGGGTGTGTGTGTGGGGGGTCTGCATCCTTGGTTGGAGTGATGATCACAGCAACGATGGAGGGAAAGAAGGGAGCCGAGGAGTTCTGGGACAAGTGTGAATCATCCCATGTCAAATAAATTTTTGAAGGAAGTTTGGTAAGGGAGGTTGGTACAGATTGCTTAAAACAGAAAAATTTAAGGGCGTGAGAATGTTTTCATGCTCTGTTCCCAAATGCAGGAGTTGATAGATATGTTCTACCTGGCTGGCTACGTGTGTTGGGAAGGTGGGGTGTGGCAGGTGAGCTCCTCTTCTGTATGCATGATGGCATGTTCCTGCTTTTCAAATAAGAGAGTGGGGAAACACTTTTTGCCCAGGTGGATTTGTAGTGCGTTAATGTTTTTCAAGTAATATTTGCAATACTAGCAAATTAACTAATCAAAGCATTTGCAAGTGTTTAGCATGGTAGATCACACACTTGAAAGCGTCCTGTTTATGAAATTTTAGACCTAAATATTGTGTATCTTTTTGTCTTTGTAGTGATGAAGCAACCATTATCTCGGGGAGAAAGCTTGCTAAACAAGTTTTGAAAGAAGTTCAAAGGGATGTGGAATCATGGATATCCTTTGGAAACAGGAGACCTCATCTCACTGTCATATTGGTAGGAGACAATCCAGCTAGTCATATCTATGTCAGAAACAAGATAAAAGCAGCTGCGGCTGTAGGTATGTGTTAAGTAATATAAATGATCCTTGGTAAGCACATGATACTGTTATTTAAAAATAAAAAAAGCAGGGGGGAACCCCCTTTGTATCTTAATTTAATTTTGCACTGTTTTCTCCCTCATCTTCTCTGATGAACCTAAAGAAAAGAAGTTGCATTGACGTGTTAAGGAAGTAGTTTTAATAGCGCATGAATGGTACTGTGAGTTCAATTCTGTATCTTAAAGTGTTGCTAGGAAACGGTTTGCACGATTACCGCAAGGAACTGGAAACTAAAGGAGAACAGTGGGGAAGTTTTTTGGCCGTTAAATGTCTTAACTGGCTTTGAGAGGCTTGGTGAATAAACATTATCAGAGAAATTATATCAGTTTTTAGTTGTTTCTGCAAGACACTGATTATTTTTGAAAGTGAAATATTTGCTTAAGAGCTCAGTACCTGTTAGATTCTTTCTTCTATATGTGGATTCTTCAGCCCACCTCCAACTGTGGTAGTAAACCATATTACCCTGGAATTGATGGGAACAGTGATTAAGTAACCAGCTTCACAGGAAGATGTCGAGAAGAGCCTTTTTGTTCATAATACCAATGTTTTCTTCATAATGTCAATCTTTGTGTGCATCTGCCGTATCTCTGGAACGTCTGTCCCATTGAATGCTTTAGGTCCACAGTAGAGCCAGGGAAGCCAGTCCAAAACCAAGGCTTTGCAGCTCTGAATATGAAGGGCAAAATTTCAGATATAATGAAATCAGAGAGGAGAGCTAAATGACTGATGAGCCAGGATAAAGCCCAGTCGCTACAACATCTCATCTCCAAATGAAAGAGGATCATAGCCTAAACAGGGAACTGCAGTGTTGTTGCTACCAGTGAAACTGTGGTCTTGTGAAGTAACTTGAAAAATTTTCTTTCCAAATAACAAGTTTTGTCCTACGGAAGCAGAAAAGCTGTCGGATAAAATGCCAATAATACTAGTGTAGCTTTATCTGTTCAGTTTTAGTTGTAATTTTCAAGAGCACATTTTTAGTAAAGTTACAAGCTTTATTTTCCAAATATATCTAAATTCTTCTTTAATTTTTGAGCTACTGTGTCCAAGTATGGATTTTTATTCTCCTCCCCATGCGCCCCACCCCTCTCCCCCATATGTTTTGTTTTAAGATCGCGCTTGACATCTAGAAATACAGCATTAAAGACCAGACAGCGAAAGCAGAATTTTTAGCAAGTCCTCCATGGTTATTTAAGACAGTTGTTAAGCATTAGGCAGATTTCAGACAAAATGACTAAGCTGTCCTTAGGTAAATTCCCTGATACTAATAATGTGTCTTCTGTTTTTGGTTTTTATCAGGCATTTCTAGTGAGATCATACTGAGGCCTAAAGACATTTCTCAGGAAGAACTCTTAGATATGACGGAAAAACTTAACAAGGATTCAAGAGTTAGTGGTTTATTAGTTCAGCTACCTCTCCCAGGTAGGTGACATCTTTTGTCCCACTCCTCATATACAGTCAACGTAAGAGGAAAGAGTTTGACAATTTTGGATTGGAAGTGTCTTAGTGACATGAGACGCTCTTGAAAGAGGACATGCATAGTGAAGAATTAGTTGAGATGTTAATTTTTTTTCTTGTATGCTAGCCTGCAGTTTGTTTTAAACAAAAAAGCAAATTAAATTGTGAGAATCATTTCATATTGTCAACCTTGCCTTTTTTTAAAGTTCAGTCAGAATGCTATTTCAAGGAATTTTCATCCAAACACTTTATCCGGTTTATTTATCTATCTTTTTTTACATTTTTCCCCCAAGACCTTTGCCATGTTTTCACCCCCATGCCAAATTACGCTGTCTAGCAGATGATGCTACAGCCTTTCTCACAGTGATTCCGGGTTTTGCCTTAAACATTTGTTTGTATTTTCTATGCTGTCCCTAATGTTCCAGGTAAGCTTTGTGCTAAGGTGCTAAAAGCTTCTACTATATTCCTGGTTTTTATTTCCCTTCTCCAAATTTGTAATGAAATCTCCCTGAAACATCACTTGGCAGTAGCTGGCAAAATGGCTTTTTGGCAGTGATAAGATTTGCAGGTTTTGTATAAATCTATGTAAGTCAACTTAGTTAAACCACGGTATGCTTCCTAAGGGCATAGGTACCTTAATTACTGGAGCCATTGTAATAGACTGACTGGCGTGCTGGGTTTCCGCTGTCTCTGTGTTGCCAAGTGTTGTCTTTTATCATACGTGTGCACTGTACTCTCTGAAGGGCAGGAGTGGTCTTTGTGGCATGTGTGGGCATGATTTCTAGTGCTAGCTGGGACTCCAGGGGTTAATGTTTATTCGTATTGCTGACATTGAAGTTGAAGCTTTGTTTCTAGGTAAGCTCTTGGTTTCCACTCTTATTCCTAGTCTTCACTTTCAGGCAGTTCTTGCTGCCTTTATTTCATATTTGGAAAACAGCGAAGTTGGGACAGGTGCCGAGTGCTATAGAGGAAGAGATGCTTTGTTTGTATTTGTAATAAACATCAGCGTTAGTGATTAGGAAGGTTTGTGCTTGGTATTACTTGAAAGCTTGTTGAATTAACTTGGCCACAAGGTGGAAGTAGAACACAAGTAAGGAGACTAAATTCTTGGACTTGAAGTAAGGAACTCTGGGAGCTGATGGGCTGTGGTCGCTTTACTTTGAACAAACCTCTCCCACTAAAAACAGATTAGGGGGAATGGGTCATGCAGCAAGTTTCCATTTCAGTAATAACAACTCATGCAAGAGATGGAGCACTGACAGCCTAGGGATGGAAATCTTTCTGTCTGAAGCGTGTAGCAAAGGAAAGAAAGACTCGTCCATTGGACTTCCCAATCCACTGTTGAGCTCCCCAGAAACAGGAGGTGTCGTGCGTTACTCGCCTTACTTGTATTGAGTACTCAGTAAAATTGTTAGGTATGGCTTGCAGAATGCATTTGTTTGAGGAGGATATTGGGTCATAACAGTCTGCTCTGGAGCTGACTGCTTTCATCGATACGTAGTTTGGCAACAGACTTAAATCTTGAAACTTTGTGAATTTAAACCTATTCAACAATTGAAAGGAAAGAAACCCTGAAGATAATTCTAGTTGTGTCAATTCAAATGTCTGATGCTAGTACACTTAAAAGTTTAATCCCTAAAGTAATTGGTTGAAGATCCCTCTGAAGAACTACGGTACACCTGTCACAGTAACTACAAGAGGACTAAATAGGCTTCCTCTAACCTATAAAACTAGTTTGAGGCCTGGCTGTTGCCTGCCTTAGTAAAAACCTTAGAGTAATTTAATCGGTAGCAGAACTTTTTCAACATTGTTTTGTCTGTAAAGTTAAATGTGCAAGTTATTAGGAACTGAAAATGTTCAGCAAGTTCTTTCCATAACAGATGTCAGATAAACTCTGATTAGTTAGTTACTTTTTTTTCTCCCAAAGGAGCTTCAGAAACAGAAGGGCAGAAGGCTAATTTAGCTTATTTTCCCAAATTCTTTTCATTTGCATTGCTCCATGGAAGGAGACAAAGCCTAGAAGCTGTGAAAACGTTGTCAGCGGAGGCTGCTTATTCCAGAGTTGAGGTGGTTGTGTGGGGTTTTGGGGTTTTTTGCAGTAAACCACACACGGGTGTGGCTTTTGATCAACACTGGGATAAAAACAGAGGCAGAAAATAGCTTTGTTCTCTTTTGGTTTTGTGAGCTGCAGCAACTTAACTTTGAGGATTGTCATCTTTGCCTGAGGAAAACTTCCTTTCTGTGCAACTTTTGCCTGCATTACTTCTGATGTGGTAATGGGTTTGTGGAGTTTCCTGTATCTTTTTTAAATTGCTTGGAAGATGACTACAAAATGTTAGATACTTACTTGAGATAGAATTTGAAAACTTTAAAATTTTCTTAGTTGTAAGCAGCAAAGAAGTATGAGACAAATCAGTACAAACATCATGTCCCTCTGTTGTCAACGACTCTGCCAGCCTGAGCATGGCCTGCTTTGGTGGAACTGACTGTTAAAATCGTAGCAGTGTCTCAGTGTAGCTTCTCAAAATTATTTCCAGGGAGCTCATTGCTGGTGCTGAGCAGCTTCCTCCTTGCTCCATGTCTGTATTTCTTGATCCATGTGCTATGTTTTTGTTTTCATCTGTCTTCACTTTTGGAAACCAGTCTTTATTCTTTGTATGTCAACATTAGAGGCACATGATGTTTATTTTGTAAACAAGAGTTTCTTGGGGTGTGTGTGCCAGAGTAGCTAGGCAAGTGATGTCATCTTGCGAGTTTGGCTAACAAGTGAAAGGTGAGTGCAGCATGCAGCTTGGCATGGAGAGTAGCTCAGAATGCCAGCCAGTAAGTTGGTATGAATATCAGTTGCGAGGAGGCTAAGCATGTTCTATGAGACTGACAGTGACATACTTAAGAAATTGTTTTGTTCCTCTGGAAATAAATGAGGCTACCTGCAGTCAAGTGGAAACAAATCAGGAAAATGCATTTTTTGAGGCAAATAAAATCTACTCATTTAGTAACGTAGTACCTGTCTATGCAGTTTGATTTAGGTTGGCTTGTTTGTTTGGGCATGGCGTGCCCAAGGTGGTGTTTTGGAAGTGTCTCTGAGGAAGGGATGGAGTCCACATCCTCTTCTCAGGCCCGTGACAGCCTACTTGTCCCCAGCCACGCAGCTGCATTTCTTGCCAGCACTATTTCTTTGAAATTCTTCAAATCAGTTTTGAGTGGGGAAAAAAAAAAAAATCCATGTAAAGCATGATTTCTTTCCCTTTTATATGAATATATCTACTCTCTGTGTATTTCTTCACAATGAAGTGATAGACTAAAATGTCCCTGCTCATGGCGAGGGGGGTTGGACTAGATGACCTCTAAAGGTCCTCTCCAACCCAAAACATTCTATGATTTGGTCCTACTGATTAGCAAGTTACAAAAAACAGTTGTATTGCTGTAAAATGGAGAAAGAAAGCTAGACCTGCCAAGTTATCTCAGCTTAGCGTTTCCATACATTTGTTTAAGTCTTAGGTTGTGTATCCTTTGGTATCTCAGAGACAGTTAACACGCACAATAACTTCTTTTCCTATGGTTTGGGGTTCTTTTTTGAGCCACTTGGTATTTAACACTTCCATAATGCAGAAGTGACTCTGAAATGTCTTGCTTGAACATTTATTTTTATAGTAGCTAAGTCATAATTCTCAACTAGAGTATTGGCCTTTAATATTTTGACTGAATCTGTTGTATTAGCAGTGTCACAAACTGAATAATTTGATTTTAAGTAGGTGACGTTAAAAGGTGAAGTTGTAACTGCTACCTTTAGAGGGGGAGTGCAGTTTATTCATAATGATTAATAATACTTAGCCTAGCTAGGCCGAACTTGTGTGTTTCTCTGTGTAATGATTCCGATAGTGTTGATGACACCTGACGAATGAAAGAACTGCAATTGGAAATCACTGTGTTTCCTAGATCACATAGATGAAAGAACAGTTTGTAACGCTATCGCACCTGAAAAGGATGTGGATGGATTTCATATTATGAATATTGGACGTCTGTGTCTCGATCAGCCTTCTATAATACCTGCCACTGCTGCTGCCGTGTGGGAAATCATAAAACGGACAGGTAAGAAACTGAACTGTATTGAAACTCTTTTTATCTTGGAAGATGAATGAAGGATCAAGTCAGGTGTGAGTTAAAAGGTGTAGGCTATCTAAATGTATTGGGCTGATTGAAGAACAAACGTTTAGAGGATTCATCTAAATAATAAGGAGGTGCCAAATAGATGAGATCTTTTGCCAGTAGCTTAACTATTAATTAAGTGTAGACAGTAGTCCACATAGGATACTTGGTGAAACACTCTGGTAATTTATTTTCTGTGCTTCATAATCTTGCAAGGAAATTTCTGTGATATTACTGACCTCCCGATTGTTTATCAAGTATAAAATTTGAATGCATCAGTTATTGTGGGGGAAGGGGAAGAAACAAAAATGGGGGCGTTCAATTCTGTCCTAGAAGGGCCAAAGAATGCATATATATTTAATAGTTGTCATTTTACAAGTATAATGTAAGTGTTCTTAGTGGTAGACATAAGAGCGTCTTACTCCCTTTGTGGTCAGTGGAGAGAAATTAAGTCCCTCGAAGGGTGATTCAGATAAACTGAATGAATTGCCAGTTTTGTTTCTTGAAGGTGAAAGCTGAAAGTTGTTTTGTGGATTCATCCCTCAAATTGAGCCTTTTGTGGGTTTTCAACTCACGTTAATGTCAGCAGTCCACAACAGCAAATAATTGTATCTTGGGGATTGAGAAAAAGGGTTGAGGCATATCAAAAGAGCAGAATACAACTTTCTGATAGTTTGTTTTTTGTTTTTTGTTTGTTTTTTTTTTTTCATATAAGGAATACAGACACTTGGAAAAAATGTTGTTACTGATGGAGAGCATGAAAGGCCTGGAGGTAAGTCCATGAATGTTGTTTTAATGTTTCCATTTGTGGAATCGTTAAAATAAAGCTGACCAGAGGATTCAGATAAAAAGAGAAAGCTTTTGTCTCTTGTACAGTATTTACAACCAGAGTAACAAATTAAATTAGCTAATATATTTCCTGACATAATCTCAGGAGAGCAGTTTCTGGACCTGACTGTTTCCAGTGTTAAGTCATCATTTAGTCCTCCATTTGAAACAGCTACTGTTTAAACATGGCTAGCACTGAAAGTTAAGGCTAATACCCGATGGTGTGGCCTTAAAGAGCTACAGAGGTTCATGAAATGCTTAAACCAAGTAATAGAGCTATATGCCTTATCCTCATGCTTATGTAATAATAACTTCCAGTTTTTCATACGCACGCATATATACACAGTTACACATGTACATATATATGTGTGTGTATATATGTATATTACATGATTCCTGTGTTGTGCTATATTAGTTAGGTGGTGATTATGAAAATATCCAAACGACCAACCGTGTACCCTTTTCATGTGAGCTCTACGTTATTACATGTTGGCCTTGGGGGACTTTTATGCAGTGTGGTTCGTACCCCCCCCTGGAAATAGGGGATTGTAATGGAAATATTTTCAAGTAATTCTAGTTGCAGAAGCATGCATGTGCTGCTATAATTGTGCTGTAGAAAGAAAAACAAATACAATTTGAATAGAATATGGTCCTTTTGCAACTTCATTTTGATGTTAGAAACTGCCAAGGTGGTGTGCGCAAATGAGGTAAACATGAATGTTTAATCCCAGGCATATTTAATAGGAGTGGAGTGAAATCTGTTATTAATATAATAAAACACTAAAAGCTTCTTACTAATCATAGAGTTGGTTTTTCCATTCAGCCTCTGTGGGAAAGTTGCTATTTGAAACTTCTCTCAGTGTTTGAATTGTAATTACCAGCAGTGCATAGTTCTGGTCTCATCCCCATTCCCATGAAAATTAGTAGCATTTTTGCCATTTGTTGCAAATATTCGGTTACATGTCTATTACCAGCAGTGCGGTTGGGTGCCTGAAACAGGCTTTATACAACACAGAGTTATGTTGCAAACTATTAGCATGTTTCTCTCTTGGAAATGAGAAGACTGAGTGACCTGTGATTCTTTCAGCAACGTGTTACAAAACCCATAGTAGTTGCATGCATCTGTTTTAGCTCTAACTAAATACTGTTTTGTAGCTTTCAGCTTTTGAGTTAATTGGGTCCGTGGCTCAGGTTTGTTCACATGTGTCCTGGGTTTGTAGTTGTTATTTGACTGCCTGGTAGTGTGACTTGTTTTGGGGGGCTAATCCAGGAGTTTCTTGGCCCATGCACAAACTTTGTGCTTCACGGTGATCTGCCTACATTATGCTTCCTGACATACTAGACACTACTTCACTGGCAGCTGTATTTACTGGCATTGTCATTGATACTATGTACGTTAAGTATTCTATGTGGGGACAGAAAAACATTCTGATATTCCCTTACAGACAGTGACACTGGAATCTAGGTGTAGAAAGAGTTAACTCCCTGAAGTTATCTTTGATTATTCTGAAAAAATGGGTTTATTTTTAAGGTAGCTTTACTTGTTTTACAACCTGCTAAGTGTTAGTATACAGTATAGAGCAGCTGGCAATGAGAAAACAAATAGTGGTATAGATGGTGATAAGTACTTCGGTAATTGTAGTTGTTGAGTATAGTTTTCATTCCTGACACACAGATCAGGCCATCGGTGAAGATCTGGTTGGTGTTCTGCAGTTAGCTTTCTTTTCCGCTTTGGTGCTGAGCGACAAGAGGCCGGCCTGGATGGCGTGTGGAAGGGAAGGCGGGCTAGGTGGTGGTTTCAGCTTTACCTCAATGGCTATCAGAATTTCTGGATGTATCGTGACAAAGAAGAAACTGAAGGTGGTTGAGATAAAGCCGAGATAGACAGTGAAGGAAAATGCATAAAGCTAAAGCATAATGAGGTCAAGGAGGTGGAGCCAAAAGAAAGATTGGAAAAGTGAATCTAATAAAAATAATACCTTAAACGGAATAATCCTTTCCACCTGTTTTCTTAGTGGCTAATAGTAGGGCAAAATGTGTGCCTTGTGATCAGGATAGAAGACGAGGTAGCTTTACCAAGTGTGTTAAGTTTCTGGGTAAAGTATGTTTTGGAGTTCAAAATAACAAGTCAGAGTCGCTAATGTTATTTTTTACCAAACAAAGGCAGGTTTTGAATTTAAGCAAGTCTTTAGAACCATTTTAACCAGGTAATACAAATGAAATGGAAGCTTTTTATGTGTGCCTTGTGATCAGGATAGAAGACGAGGTAGCTTTACCAAGTGTGTTAAGTTTCTGGGTAAAGTATGTTTTGGAGTTCAAAATAACAAGTCAGAGTCGCTAATGTTATTTTTTACCAAACAAAGGCAGGTTTTGAATTTAAGCAAGTCTTTAGAACCATTTTAACCAGGTAATACAAATGAAATGGAAGCTTTTTTATTCATTCTTTTTTTTTTTTTTTTTTTTTTTTTCGGGGGGGGGG